TGCGTTCCGCGTACTTTTGAAACCTTAAAGGATTCAAACTGATCTCCAATTTTCTATTATTTGAAGTCATTCACTATAGAAATTAGCTTTGTAAAAAGGAGGGAGATCCCCATAAAAAACTTCAAAAAAGTAAAAAAATTACGCCAAGTACATGAAAAAGTGGATGACTTAAAGAGTAATCATAGATCAAATAATTTTTTGAAAAAAAAATTTAACCGACTTCAAAAAAGGTACGGTGAAAAGTATGAAATAATTTCTAGGTAATTTATATGAATACGCACTAGCTCTAGATATAATTGCTTAAAAGTATGGGAAAATGCAGTGAAAAGTGTGAAATAATTTCTAGTTAAACTGCATTTTTATTCACCATCGTTTGATGAATTTGGTTAACTTATTAAATACATCATATTAAATGCAATGCACCTTTTTCGGAGGCGGCGCAGATGTAAAATTTTTTTAATTCCGGTTTGGGTTAGCTTTTGGTAGAGGCGGCAATATTGAATGCTGTCAATGTATACAAAGTGTCCCAAAAGTCGGGGAGGAGCCGGAAATGGGGGGTAGCTGTGACGATTCTGAATAACAATTTCCTTTGCAAAAATGTCGGATGGGGCTTCGTTAAGGAGATATTAAGCGAAAACCCTGACCAATCAGAGTGCGCGTATACCGCTGAAGCGGTCGTGGTTGCGAAGGCTACGTGCTGACGGCCGCGCTTGTACACGAACAAGTGACTCGACGTGCATCGAAGGACATTGACGCTGCCGCCTAGCGCGTAGCCTTCGCTACCGCGGCCGCTCGAACGGTCTACGCGCGCTCTGATTGGTCGGGGTTTTCGCTTAATATCTCCTTGACGAAGCCCCATCCGACAGTTTGCAAAGGAAATTGTTGTTCAGAATCGTCTCAGCTACCCCCATTTCCGGCTCCTCCCCGACTTTTGGGACACCCTGTATATGTTTATTGTCTATGAGGAATTAATAGTTAATGTATATAGTATGTACACAGAAATATAGTGTGAGTAGATTTGGGTTTTTTTTGGAGGGGAGTGGCGGCCACATTGATTCATGACACTCCCCATGGAAATACTGTATAAATAGGTTTGGGATGGTATTTGGTGGGGGCGGCGATGTTGAATAGTGTTAATGAATATGATGTCTAAAGTGGCTGTAATGATAGCAATAATTAAAGATCATATTTTGTGTTTCTCCGACAGAAAGTTAAACCATGTTCGGCAATTTTGAATATACTTAATTTTAAATTTTGGCCGCCTTCGAAAAAGGTGGATTGCATTTAATATGATGTGTTTAATAATTTAACCAAATTCATCTAAACGATGGCGAATACCAATGCAGTTTAACTAGAAATTATTTCACACTTTTCACTGCATTTCCCCACACTTTTAAGCAATTATATCTAGAGCTAGTGCGTATTCATATACATCAACTAGAAAGTATTTCATGCTTTTCACTGTACCTTTTTTGAAGTCAGTTACGTTCTCTCTCTCTCTCTCTCTCGCGCGCGCGGGAGCCAATTATGCGGTGAGATTTCAATTAGTAATTATAAAGTACGAAATTATATCTTACACTACTCCTAATTATTAGAGGCGAAACAAAAACACAAATAAGAGGAATTTATATCGCGGCGAACTGAGTCTTTTCGCGGTCAATGTTGCACATTGAAGGAACACTTCAACCGGGAACTCTGACTCAAAATTATAAAGAAGATATCTAAAGATCGCTCGCGGGCTTCTGTTACACTTAACACGACTTTAGAACGAGAAGTGACTTCGACTTTGCAGCTTCGAGCACAGCTCGGTTCGAAGTTAATGAAAATGTTTGCGCTGCATTCTGCGCTGCTGCGAATCAGAGTGCAGTGCTAACGAAAATGAATTTTAATTGGCCAGGTTCCTTAGCTGATTAAGGTGTTCTTGCGCTCCGCTCAAATCCTCAAATCGCGACGCTGTAGGTACAATCTAACTTATAAGTTTTCCTGCGTGGGTCCCGTACGGCCTGCCAACGAGAGAGAGAGAGAGATGGACGGTCGGAACGCTGCGCTAGGTTTCGCGGCGGACTGTATACTGGTGTGAGGCGTTTTCCAGAAAATGGTTAGCTTAAAATGTGATTTTTGGAAGTTCGCGTCGGAAGTTCGGTGTACAATTCAGACGATAAGGCGTAATAAGATCTTTATCTGCGTCAGACAGTTTTTGAATTTCAATGTATTCCTACCTAACGTGAGGTGACTGACTCTTGAAAACAATATCTATCTATACTTTATAATTATTACACGCTCTGGAGAATGGCAAAATTATTATAGCTTATTCGTTTCATCGCGCAACGCAATGTCAATAGGGTAACGACGCTGATCTTCCAGGGAGAAAGTGTTATACCATGTTTATCTTTTAGGAAATATTTTAATCGTCAAAGGCTAGGTTTGTGCTCGATTAGAAAGAATTCGGGATGGTAAACCATCTCGAACACATTCCTGCCGACGAAATCAAGGTAAATAAAAAAATAAATTGTCGGCACGTAACATATTAGATTATGTCACTTATTAAACTGTACACTTTACATTAATAAATAAAATGTTATTTATTTGAAAATATTAAAGGACGACTCGTCTTTATTATATTAACATGACACGTCTGGCAAGGAGCAGCAAATCAATGATATTGAAAAACAAACTAACAACGATTATTATAAACAATCTGAAATATACAATTATGAAATCGATCATACCGAGTATGAAACGATATTTAATTTTGACATATTTCAATATGATACATCGTTGAATACCATTCTTTGCTATTAGCATTGGAAACGTTCCTGTAACGTGAGAAAGTAGAAATATACCTGCTTAATGGAAATGTTTTATTTCGGTTTAAAATGCACGTTCGTCCACTGCGGGATATGCAGATACGTTACGTAAAAGTTGTTCTATTTCAAGAAATCCCAAAAATGGTAGCTTCGAACATTGGACCTGATCCGTAACAAAATAGAAGAATTCAACATCGGTGGTTCGCCAGCACGAATCATTACCATAAGTATGTGAGTAGTGGCTGACACAGCGTGTTATGATAATCGTTGCAGGTGTATACGTATCGAGTTAGCGGCGCGATAATTTACAGTCGGCATTACGATAAATTTTATGATGAATGTTCGCTGTGCGCCGCTTTGAAGTTCCCTTACTTAGCCCTGGGATGAAAAATTACAAGTGAAAGAGAAGGTCGAGATGAAGAGTTTAAAGGGAGAATAAACGAGTCCGCTGTACCTGTAAGTTGCGACGTAACTCTTTCTACAGCGCGCAACCGGCCTAAGAATGCCGCTACCTTCTGTTCCAAGAAGAAAGCCAAGTGAACTTGAACCTTGGAAACCCGTGGTCTCTACCCTGGTCCAGGATTCCCCTAATTTGTTTGAGTGAAACAATATCGAGTTACGACCGATGCTATCGCTGAAACACGCACGTGCTACGGCACACGGAAGGTTCTTCATCGCATCCCTCTGACGAGCTACCGTGCCGAGCTATCTTCACGAATCTCTTGCTCGGTCCGAAAAGAAGAAGAAGATGAAGAAAGAGACAAGAATGAAACGACTACGGACGACGCGATGGCTCCCTTCCGACGCATTCGGAGATGATTTCGACCA